CCCAATCCCACCCCAAATCACACAAGCAACACAGACCAAGCTTAAGTTCTGATGGCAGGATCAGCCATATCCGGTTTTGTGAAATTGGGGCAGAAAACAATAACAACAACTCCCATTTGAATAATCATTAGTTTTATTTCCTCTTTTCTATACAAAATGATGACGTATTAGCCAGTTGATGAGTCACCGAAAACAAAGCTTTTTCGCTAAACTGCATTTTTTATTCAATGTGTGTCACTGGTATAATCCGGGAATTAAAAGAGATTACTTTTGATAGACTGATCACTGAATTCACAATCAAACGGAACGGGTTAACACATTCGACGACGTTGCCAATAACGTATCCACTTCGAGTGCTACAAAAATATTAACAATGTAGGCTACCACTTCCAGTTATTCAAACACACTTGAGTATGATCCATCTCTTCTGCTAAAAAAACATCGACACGCATTGTTGACTAGCGTTTTAAACAATTCGATGGTAATATTTACAACTTTATGTTAAAGGTAGCTTTTAGATCAGCAAGAGAATTGCAGGTCTTGACACCGAGACATTCGCTGGACCAACGATCCCAAAACGTTTTCCGTCAGAATGACCTCTTCCGAGCAGTGGGAAACTACAGAATGTTGATCATACGAAAAGCAAATCGTTCATGTGATATGCCACTGGGGTGTTTGCAGTGCTGCAAAGATGCACTAACCCACCTACCGTCGTTGTGATGAGTAGCAAAAATAAACTTTAAAATGTGCCTGTACGGGCACGAGTTTCGATTACCGTCCAGAATTAACAACTGAATTAAACCAGCTGCGGAAACGCAGTGATGTTCCTCATCAAGTATTATCTTGCTCAATTTGGCGCCATTTCGACGGTAATGTAAATGAACTGACCCGCTCAGGTTCACCTTACCTCGTCACTAAATACTGCTATTATCATATTCCACGTGTTGAACTACACTGTTTGGCAAAAAAAGCATTCTCAACCCAACTTTATGATACGGAAGGTGATCCACGATTTACGTGTGGGTGGTAAATTGCTAAGTTGTCCATACCAAAACACACGAATTTGCCGGGGGATTCACACAAGGATGTCTCGGTGAAACAAAGTCTGTCCCGCAAGATAGCGTATAAAAAGTGCAGCTCATTTGAAACAGGCGTCCAGTTAACCAGGTGATACACCCTTTAGATGGGGCCCAACGTCAAAGGTATTCGATGCCCAATCCAATCGGTGACCACTGTCGCAACCAGAAGTGTGTAGTTCTTACGCTTCTTCTAGGTTTGTTTCGAATCGAGGCTGCTAGGTCGCTCTCCTAGGTTCACCGATCGAACTATAGTCCCGAATGTTAGACTTTCGTCTTGACACTTGGGTGAAGGGAATCCTCCTCAGAGGCTGTTTCAGACGCTTGACTGTATCGATCAAGTTCGGGTGATGAAAGACAAGGGTGATCAGACAAAGAGCAAGACACGCACATCTGAAAATAATAAATACCGCTTCATATTGGAGCGTCCAACAAATGTGGATCTAGGCCGAATGCAATCGATGTATTATTCTCTATTTAAAGAAAACATCTCATCTAGCACTGCAGTGGGTGAGGTTGTCAGTGATTGTTGCATAGTTTTTGTTGAAATTGTTTGTACTAAATGCATTGCAACTGCTCAGGCACTAATTGTTCTTCTTCTTCTTCAACGATTCATTTTCTTTACCAAAACGCTCATGCGTTCCTCATTTTATTCGCCTTCCGGGTCTGTCTGTCAAACCCTAACGATGAATCGCTGTTCTCGGTAGTCCGGTGAGCACAACAGTTTTGCTAATGAGCGGCTGTCTGAATGCCAGCAACTACCCATGTGGAAAATGTCCGCCTCATGTCACCGAGAAAACGATAGGCTGTTCTTTCTTTTCTAGTACAAGTTTCAAATACCTGTAAATAGCCTGAAAACAACAAGCTACAGATGATCACCACGTAACCAGACTAAACCAGTCACCAGAAAACATATGGGTGGTAGAACCAGTGTGTTCTAATCATGCACGAAATGTATATAAAATTGTGCCGCTCTTTATTTGGAATAGATGGTAAATGTACTGATTAGTACGCTACATTTCCATGCATTCTTTGGAATAGCTCTGTTTTTCGCTAGAGCAAATATCAACGCAACGCAAACTGGACGAAGAAAACCAAGTGCCCGCCTGACTTCGGTTCGCACTACGATAAACTGATAGTGCACACACGCTAGAAAGTCGGAAAAGTTGATATCTCACTCAGGATACCACAGTAAGAGTGAAAACAGCTGCGAGAGAAGGCTTGTGTATTAACATTCAACAAAGGTGCCCTCTCCTAATGAATTCTGTGGTCCCATCAGTTCGGATGCCCGTCCTACCTTCCAGTCACACGAAATTAGATTCATAATGGAAGAACCAATGGGCGAAAACACGAGGCTTTAGCCCTCTTTCAAGAAAGTTGAATTCCTAGATTTCAATACTGAGTGAAGTTAACCGTACTCTAAAAATAGTGGTCGTGCTCACATTATGTAATCAACTTGGAAGATTTTCCTCAACAATCCTGCCACGCATTTTGGTCACCACCGTCGTGAAAGAATAGTAGGGTAAACAGAAGAATCCCACTGACTAGGGGGCTGCAAACGCAGCATCCCAAAGTTCCTAGAACGAAGGAAGTTCTCTACTCAAGGAAATAAGTACTGATAAT